GGGTTGTGCTTCTTATTAGAGCCCAATTGACATTGTTGAAGAAAGGATGTTGCTTTATCTCTGTAGCACCTTTCTTGAATCCTAATCTCTTCTTAGGATCTTTAGTTAGCAAACCTCGGATCAAATCTTTAGCTGCAAAACTTATTGATCCTTCTGGGAACTTAAGCGGTTGCCCGACAACATTGAAGAGTGTTTCGCGGTTTCCGTTTCCTTTGAATGGTGTTTTACCGGTTAACAACTCGTAGAGAAATATACCAAAAGTCCACCAATCAACAGAACTTCCATGACCATCTCCTCTTATGATCTCAGGAGCTAAATACTCATGCGTGCCAACGAATGACATAGACCGAGCATCCGTTGGCTCAGCTATTAGCATTGGGAGTGAATCTGAACCAGCTTTTTCGGTTTTTGCCTTTCGTGGTTTGTTGTTGAGGAAACGAGGCTTGAAGCACGATGGTTGGATACAGGCTACAGGTAATTTGCAGGATGGGTCTATGCAAGGAGGTTGAATACAGTACGAAGCAATATGACAAGACGGTTGTGAAGTGGATTGAATCAAAGTAGGACTCACGAAACTCTGCAACGAAAGATCGAAATCCGAAAGCATAATGTGACCATCTTCTCTCACCATTACATTCTCTGGCTTCAAATCTCTGTACACTACACCCATCATATGAAGATACTCAAGCGCAAGAAGTACTTCAGAAGCATAAAACCTGCAAATTCAACAACATAAGAAACAGACAAAACAGAGGATCCATTAGAATGTGGAAAGATTCAATGTCTTCAGATTCTTAGAAGCTATACAAAACAATCAAATCAATTTGATTTTCACTCTCACACAAACCCAAAAACATTGCCAAGAAAAAGACAAAACAGAGGATCAAGGTTTCAAATGTTTTTCAGATTCTTAAAGCTATATAGAAGAATCAAAGCAATCTGATTTCACTCACAAACAAAACCAAAAACATTTCCATGAAAAGACAAAACAGAGGATCCACTAGACAGAACAATCAAAGACATTTCCGTTCAGTTCGATTTCACTCTCAGACAAAACTCAAAACAAGAAAATTAACCTGGCGGCTAGTTCGGAGAAATGTTTTCCGGGCTGTTTCTGCCGGAGAATATGAAGATCTCCACCGCTACAAAACTCCATCAAAAGACAAGAAAACTTCTCAGTCTCGAAATGAGAGTAAAGCGTAGGCAAGAAAGGATGATCCAACAAACCCAAAATCTCTCTCTCAGTCTGAGCTCTAACCAGTTTCTTCCTACCAATCAACATTCCTTTATCCATCACTTTCATGGCAAAGAAACATCCCATCTCTCTAAGCTCAGCTAAATAAACACTCCCAATATCTCCACATCCCAACTTCTTCAACAACCTAAAATGCCCTAAACCCAGATCCTCGTTTTTACTACACTTAACACTCTGAATCGCGTCCCATCTAAGATCGTTCCTTTTATGTGGCTTCGAAGGAGCAAAGACCCTTTTGAAATTAGCCTCGTTTGCATCGAAAGATTGAGACTTTTCGAGATTAGCTTCACTGCTTACACTGTTACTGCTACAGAAACTTAAGCTGATACTATTGTTAAGCCTAACGTCTTCAGAGCCATTACTGCTAGTTTTGAAGCTTGCGGATCCAGAAACTGGACTAGCATTGGCATTGTTGTAATTGGAAGAAGAACAATCATGTAAAGAAGATTCAAGATTTGGAGTTTGGTTACTCATAACTGAAGAAGAAGAAGAAGATCGAGAAAGTGAGAAGTGAGAAGTGAGAAAGAAGAAAGAAAGATGTTTCCTTTAAAGAATCTATGGGTTTTGTGTTGTGTTGTTGATGGTCAAGGCTCTGTGATGTGACTCGAGGTGGTCAAAGAGAGAGAGAGAAAGAGAGGATTTTTTGAAGACATTGAGATTGTTGAAAAAAACAAAATGTGTTTAATTTTTTTTTATTTATGAAGGAGAGATTTTTCAAAATTTGAAACAGTGGCTGTGTGTGTGGAGGGTAAAATGGAGATTTGATTTAATTGTTAATAGCAATTAATATTAGTGTTAAACCCAATGAAGTTACTAGTGGATAATACTCGTATCGTGTGTCACGGTGAAGATTTATATTATACTAATATAAAGTATATTTTTGTAGTAAAATGTTCGAATATTTCATAGTATTTGTTAGGTGTTAATTTGGTATTTGGAAAATGTATATTGTCAATAGCCACAGCCAGAAACCAATGTAGTTAGAGAATGATTCAGAACTAGTCAAAACAAAAAAGTTTCGTATTATTGTCTTGTATACATGTTAAAATAATATAAAATCTAAAAGTGTGATATTGTATTTAGTTTTTTTAGAAAATTTTATAATGATTTTTTAATAAGAAACATATCTTAATTGATTATCATGACCAATCAATCGTGGTTTAACAAACAAAATGTTGATTGTGTTTAATGAACTTGACCAAATCGAACCATTTAAATGGTTTTGGCCGTTTAGGCAGAGGGAAAGAGGGTGAAGTTCACGAGGAGAGCACAAAGATAAGTAATTTTTTATTTTCATAAAATTAATCCAATATAAAACACAATTACCAATACTATTTTGGACCTTTATTTGTAAAATTTCAACATTTGTTGATAATGTTTTGTATTTTATTTTATTAATATCCATGTTGCAAAAACATATACTATCTCTGATGATTATCTCAATTGAGAAACTAATTTACATATTTCATATTTTCATTAAACCTATGTCCAAATTGTTTTTGTAAATGTACGAAGCCACCTTTTAAGTAAATTTTTATTTAGAAAAAATATTAGGTTTGATTGGTAATCCTATACAAAATAGGGTTGATAATTACTAAATTTAAAAAAGTTACTAAAAGCGATACTCTCGGTTTATTTATACCGCTATTTTTATATTTTTTAAACTATTTTTTTTATCGTTTATCATTTTCTATTCTCTAATTTTTTTTACAGTTTTTTGTTACCAATCGGATTTATTGATATCATACTATCATCTTATTTAGTGTACTTTCTTTTTTTTCGCCATCTTATTTAAGGTGTGACTGTTAGCATTTTATAGAAGAAAAATAAAGAGAATTTTTTTCTAAAAGTTAACCAGTCAAATAAAATTTGGAAGAATTGTTTTTACCCAATTCATCCCAAAAGTAACATAAAAAGGGTTATTTCTACAATTATATGTTAGAAATAATTCTTCAACATTTTAATTTTCTTTTCTTCTCTTTTCTTCTAGCTTTTTTCTTCTCTTTTTTTCTAATTTTAACCAGTCACACCCTTATTGTACTACATATAATGTATTGCCAATAATATATATACAAAATACAAATAATGCTATCAGTTTTCAATTTCTATATATATTATAGTTTATTATAAGAACATAATTTTCAAATCAAAATTCAGAGCATATAAAGTGCAGGGAAGTTATGGCTATCATTTTCTTAAAATGTTGGATAATAGTTGGGTGAACCAATTTTTCTTACTTTTTTTCCATGAAAATAAATTCTAAAATTAGTCTTTTTTATTATAAGTTGACAAAAAAACTACCAAGAATAAACTAAAATAAAACCTTAACACTCAAATCCAAGCTGAAATCAAAAAGCTTGACAAATTGTACTCGGATAACAGAGATTTTTTTTCGTCTGGAAAAATATATCGATGGTTAAAAGATTTTACATTTCAATACCCTTCAATCTTGACACAACCAAGATGAAAAGATTAGGAATTAGCAGAACAAGTCCTAATTTACCAAAAAAAGAATGCCAAAGATAAGAACTCAAATAAAAAACCTGAAAAAAAACGGGTTAAGAAGAGGCTCTCTCATCACCAAACACACCATTAAGCCAAGACGGATATCCTGCCGCAACATATGAATTGAACCTTAGATCTGAATTCAGAGATGGTGCAATGAGCGAGGCTCCATTATTGATACCAAGAGATTTAAACCCATGAAAATATACTAATATACTCAACCAACTCCAATAACAACGTTATAAATGTAAAATGTGGTTCAAGGCTAATGTCTAGGAGTCTATGACATGTACCGTTCTGAATTTAGAGGTTAAAATTTCACAAGTAATGACTCTTATAAGTTCGTGGTTAAAACCATTGATTGCATGGTTTAAAGGTTAATTTACTTAAAGGTCGTTTTTTTTAATCATAAACAATGGACAACGCATAAAAATTACATGAGGTCAAGAACCAAACAGTTCTAATAGATGAAAGCAAAATATACAAAGGCAAACACTAGCTTCTACTAATAGTCATTGTGGGCCTGTGCCTTTTTCTAATATTTACTTATTATATTTCTTTTTTACATCTTTTTTGTGTGCTAAATATACAGAAATGACAAACATATATTAAAACGTACTGTCGTTGGTTAAATTGATTTTATATTTTTTATTATCTAGAAAATATTAAAAAGGAATCAAGAGCTTGTGACTTGCAAATAAAAGATGTAGTTCCATGCACTAATATTCTGATTAAGAAAAAGAGGTGAAAACATCATTAATTTTGATGAAAAAATTAGAGTTTGATAGTTTATCACCGATGTAGTTTCTAACATATCAATATTTTTGCCTACCAAAAAAAAAAAAAACATATCAATATTTTTGTATCCATATTGATATATGTTTGAATTCCTTTTTGAAAAATCTCATATTAGTTAGATTGGACTGGTAGATTCTATATTATCATATTCTAGTAGTATATGACTGGGTTGGTATGCCCCAACAATAAGAATCCAATTACCCACAAAAATATTATTGCATTTTTTTCATCGTTCCATTGATTTTCGTAAAAGGAATATTAACTAGTCAAAAGTTCTTGAACACCATCGGAAGCGACATCAGCTCCCTTGTCTTAAAGGATCAAATTTTAACTTACCCATAATCCAATCTTTAAGCTTAATCTAAGATCGAAAACGACATGATTCTTTATATAAATCACGTCTCTGGCCACTTATAAATACTCTAACTTATAACATTCATTTTTGAAACGTCAAGTTACAACCAAATTCCAATGAAATTCCACTCTACCTCCGTGTTACAACTTTTCATAATATCGAGTTGTATAGTATATGGTAATTTTCTTGCTTGTTTTAAATCATATCGTTGGTATATTTGATCTTATCATAACTATATGATCGATGCTATAAATAGGTGAAGTTACAAGTCATGAAATAACATTTTATTTGCAAAATAAATGTTCATTTCCGATTTGGCCGGCCGTTGCCCCCAACTCCGGCCATCCGGTGCTAGCCTCCGGTGGATTTTACCTACCATGCGGAGGTATTAAACGCATTGATGCTCCTTGGGGTTGGAATGGTCGCATTTGGGCTAGAACAGGCTGTGACTTCACTTCAAACTGGAAACAAGCTTGTGAAACAGGTAATTGTAATTCTTACAATAACTTTTTTATACAATTAATAATATATGAGAGTTTCATAGAGAATATTAAAGGTTACAACGAATTTTAGGTGATTGTGATGGACATTTGGAGTGTAATGGATTGATCGGAAAACCTCCGGCAACCCTTATTCAAATTGCTGTACAAGCCGACAAATCTAAACTTAATTTCTACGATGTAAGCCTCGTGGACGGTTATAATCTCCCTGTCGCAGTGAACTCAAAACCCGTATCATCCAAATGCAACATCTTAGGATGCCATAAAGATCTCAAAACCACATGTCCTGAAGAACTACAGGTGACATTTTTTCTTTTTCAACCATTAGTTTCAAAATCCGATCAAAATTAAATGCTCAAATTTCAAAAATAATATAACATTCTGAAAGTAGATATATAGGTAGTTCGACTCACCAAAATGACGAATATCTCAAAACCATATAATCTTGTCTTTGAAATTCTGTCTCGTTTTTGTTTTCTCTTTTATAGGTCTTGAACGAAGAGGGACAAATCGTGGCTTGCAAGAGTGCATGCTTAGCATTTGATAACGATAGGTTTTGTTGCCGGAATGCATATGGAACGCCGGAGAAGTGCAAAAGAAACACGTACTCTATGTTGTTTAAAGAAGCTTGTCCCAATTATTACAGTTATGCCTACGACACACCTCCTCCTTTGGTCACTTGCTCCGCCAAGGAATATCTTATCACATTTTGTCCATCAAATTGGGGTCATAGTTCCACGTAAAAACCTTTAAAAAATACGACACAGACGATATTACATGTATTGAATCTATTGTAAAGTAGAGTGAAAAAAAAAAAGAATCTATTGTAAAGTCTTGAGTTTATTACTTTATTTACTCATGAACCTATGATTTGTATAATTCGCTTAGATTCTCTAATTTTCCTTTTATTGGGCCTTGTAGCCCAGAGTATGTGTTAATAGAATGTGAGATGTGATATGGACCGGCAATTATTGGGGGCTTTGGTTAAGTAGAAAGGATAATCGTTAAACGAGTAAAAAGAATAATTAAACAGAAGAAGAAATAGAAAGGTAACAAATAAATCCAAAGTCCGATAAAAAATAGTATCCAAGGTTAAGCAAAATGAGCACGACTTTTGATCCACCGCAAATATTAGAAAAGAATTGGTTCATAATTTATAAATGTTATGAACCAAATGCTAAAATGTATGGCTTAGAAAAAGGAAAAACTAAAGTAATATTATTAAAAAATTACGATATTTTCTGTTTTTAGTACGAGATTAAGTATCTTTCTTTAGTTATTTCTTAAACGAAGTTTTAGATGATATATATAGGAGTTTATACGTAATACTTAGGTTAAGACTCATGTTGATGGAACAAGCCATATGTGTCATTTTACCTAGTAACTTTTCTATATTGTGATAACTTCCATTAATTTTCTCTTTTTATGAATGAAGAAATCTAAAAGTTTTTTGGATACACGATGCGTGGTCCATGAACTCGATGTACAAAATAAATATCTTTCATGATCAAGTGGACCAAACTATTTTGTTGTCTAAATTTCCATAATCTATTAAATTCGTCACTAGAAGTGAAAGATTACGAACGGAATTTATAAACAATTATAAAATCTGAATGTTAAAATATTTAAAGTAGAATAGGATTAGAGTTCTTTATAAGGAAAAAGGATTCAAAGCTTTGTACATATAAAATTATTATCAATTGTTAATTGATTTTAAATTAAAATGTTATTATCTTCAACATAAAAAGTTGATCAAAATAGTACAATCATATATCAGATGATTATTAAGCTTTAACTTAGTCGCTAGAACATTTTTCTTATTTTTATTGTTGATGTAAATCAATCTTTAGCTCCCATTAGTGATGTTAGAATAAAATTATAAAAAAAGATTAAAAAGAGTTATGTATAAGAAATTTTTAAAATCTTTGTATATTAATTAAGCTATTTGAAATGAAATTTTTTTGGAGTTTCATGAATAAATTATTAGAATTAAAATACCAAGATATATTGTAAAGATTTTGAAATCCACACAAATAGATTCTTAATATCAATAAACAAATTTAACCTTATAATATTGACTTTAACTCCGTAGTTTAAATGATATTTTTTTAGTTAATTTTGGGAATTTAATCATATTCTAATTTTTGATGTTTTATATTAGTAGTACGTTTTATTATATTGTGATTCAGAAAATTAGTTTCCTGCTGTTCATTCATAAGAAATAAATTAGATTATAATATTGAAAATTTTATATACAAGAATATATTTGCACCAATGAACTACACGTATTTTCTATTTACAAAATAAATTTTGTAATTTATATTAGTAAACATATATATAAAGTATAGATTATAGAGATATATGAAGGTTCAAGGATGAAATTATTTACAATTTTTTTTCCTACTATATGAACGTTATTGAAGGCTTAAATTTTTCTTCTCAGCATCAAATTAACATTTAAGATTGACTTTAGCATAAAAAGTAATAATATCTTGTAGAGAAGATATCTTCATTGAAACTTACGTCCTAACCACAAGATGGATGTCTAGCTTAGTTCTTAAGATATTGTTTGTTCTTTTTTCTTACTTGATAAGGTTTTCTTTTAAAATTACTTTTTTTTTTTATCATCAAAAAGTACCTCTCGTTTTGTTTATGAGTATTATCAGTTCCAAATTGGTCATCATACATGTAATCTATGTGTAAAATTGACAAGTTCTTCGTTGTTTACCACTAAGGTTATTTTGTTTATTATTTTTTAGCAGTTTCCAGTTGATTATCACACGTTAGTCTATGTATTGGACAATTTCTTGGTGATTTCTTATTAGTATGTCGGCATATACTATTAATATACACTTCTATAAATATATCAAAAGTTGTGGTGTATACACACACTACCTTTATTCTTGCTTCCTAAGAAATCTAAAACAAAAACCCTTTTAAAACGACGGAACAGAGTATCCAAAAAAAATGGTAAGAATGGGTGAAGTATGGACTAACACGGGCTCTGCTCTCGCAAGTTTAGTGTTTATATACACAATCTTCGAGCGATTCTTCCCTTACCGTCTCAGAGAGCACTTCGAACCATTAGCTCAAAGGCTCATCGGTTTTATCTACCCTTATATTCAGATAACGTTCCATGAATATAGCGGTGAGCGGTTCACGCGAAGCGATGCCTATGACGCGATCCAGAGCTATCTTAGCAAAGACTCTTCTTCTCGAGCCAAGAAACTAACAGCCAACACAATCAAAGGAAATAAATCTATTGTCCTTAGCATGGACGACCATGAAGAGATCACTGATGAGTTTGAAGGGGTTAAAGTTTGGTGGCAATCGAAGAAACATCAAAGCGAAAGCCGGGCCATCTCCTTTTACCCTAAAGCCGATGATTCAAGATTCTACATGCTTAAGTTTCATAGACGTGACAGGAAAGTAATCACAGAGAAATATCTTGATCATGTTATGAGTGAAGGCAAGACAATTGAGGTTAAGAACAGAGAAAGGAAGCTTTATTCGAACAATCCTAGCCAGAATTGGTCTGGCTATAAGCAAACGAAGTGGAGCCATGTCACTTTCGAGCATCCTGCTACATTCGATACTCTTGCTATGGAATATAAGAAGAAAGAAGAGATCAAGAACGATCTGATCAAGTTTAGTAATAGCAAAGATTACTACAAGAAAATCGGGAAAGCGTGGAAACGAGGGTATCTCTTGTTTGGTCCACCAGGAACCGGCAAATCAACAATGATTGCTGCGATGGCGAATTTCTTGGAGTATGATGTTTATGATCTTGAATTGACAACAGTTAAGGATAACACAGAGCTGAGAAGGTTGTTGATTGAGACTTCAGGGAAATCGATAATTGTTATTGAAGATATCGATTGTTCACTTGACCTAACTGGTCAGAGGAAGCAGAAGAAGGAGGAGGAGGAACACGAAGATGAGACTAGCCCGATTGAGAAGCAGATGAAGAAAGATCAAGGTGAGAATAAAGGAAGTAAAGTGACATTATCAGGGTTATTGAATTTCATTGATGGGTTATGGTCAGCTTGTGGTGGTGAGAGGATCATTGTGTTCACTACTAATTTCATAGATAAATTAGATCCGGCTTTGATTCGAAAAGGAAGAATGGATAAGCATATAGAGATGTCGTATTGCGGTTTTGAAGCGTTTAAATTGTTGGCAGAGAATTACTTGGATGCCAAGGAAGAAGATGATAATGAGTTGTTTGATGAGATCAAGAGGTTACTTGAGGTAGAAGAAATCAAGATGACTCCTGCTGATGTGGGAGAGAATTTGTTGAGGAAATCAGAAGTTGAGGCTAAGGAGATATGTCTGGAGCGATTAATCGAAGCGTTGAAGGAGGAGAAAGAGGAAGCAAAGAGGAGGATTGAGGATGAGGAGAAGAAGAAAAAAGAAGAGGAAGAAACTAAGAGGAAGAAGAGAGAGGAGAAGAAGATAAAGAAGGAAGAGAATGAAGAAAATGAAATTGCATTGAAAGAAATATGATTTGAATATTTGTGATATTTATAATGAATAAACGACCATATCATTCAGAGTTACAGTAGTAGTATCTTTGTTTCCTTATGTAAAAGCTAACTACTAGACATGGTTATGTATACTCCTATTGATGATTATATTCATTCAGCTAGTTGTCATAACATTAGTTAGCAATTCAATGTCAGGTTTTGGTATAAATATATGTGAACAAAAATCAATTTGGGGGCTATGCCCTTTTTTTATGGAGACACAACTGTTCTATAGTGTAGCAATAAGCAAGCAAAGATACATTTTTCCACCACTAAAGCGTAATACAGAGTTTCAAAGACTCATTAATGATTTGTTTGAAACTATGAATAAACCAATGACTATCAGTGTAAATGATCAAAATGCTATTTCCTCAGTTTTATAAAGGACGTTATTTTTAAACATATCACACAAATTAAGAAAACTTTAAATTATATTTGTATATGTCTTTATTTATATTTCTTAACTTTGCGTTAAAAATAAGTTAAGAAATTTAATGTTAAAATCACATTAAAAATATAAAATAACATTATATGTAAAACAAAAATAAAATTCTAAAATAACACTATTTGTGAAACAGAAAATATTAAATTGGCTAAGAGCATATGCATCGCCAAAACACTGATTTGTGTTCTTAACATTATTTTATTAAGAAGAGAGAGAAGAAAAAAAGAAAGAAAAAAGAAGAAAAAAAGAGGACTAATACACAAAAGACACGTGCTCATAATACTCTTAGAACACCTTAAGAACAGTTCTCGGGGAGGAACACAATTCCACTTTGTCTTATAGTACTGTTCAAGCCTTTTATTAATTTAATACTCTTAGAACACCTGATGTGTTTTGGCGATGCATATGCTCTAATAGTCAAGTGTTTCATGTGAAAGATGAAGTAAATTGAGTTAAAATACTATTTTGGAAGGTCAAAAGTGTTTGATGGGACTATTAAAGTTTTCAAAGTTTGAAACAAATCCAACGCTGCAGATACATTCACCAAATCATTACCAAAGAGCTGATTCGAGTTATTCCACTATAAGATTAATTAATTATAGGTTTATGATCCATTTATATTTTATTTAAACAAACTCAAAATTAAGCGGAAATTCTAAAAAAAATTTTCAAAACTAGTAACTACACATATTCCTCGCCAAGTCTTTTTCAGTTTTTCTATATTATTTTCACTTTTTTCAAAAGTTTGTTCTCTCTAAATAATAATAAATCGGGAACGTAAATCGTTGTCCAAAGTTCCTGAAGTCTTGTTAAGTCTATCACTATAGGTTTAGGATTTGACATAAAATAGGATTTTTTTTTTCTTAAAAAAAAACTATAAGTTTGAAAGATTTGACGTAAAATAGGATTGAAATGTATATGTAAAAACTATGAGTTCAAAATACATAAGCTTAAAGCTTTGACATAAAAATAGTTAAAACAGTCCATTGTTAAGTTTCGACTTAATTTTTAGCCCAGTTTTCTTCCTAATGTTGTCAATCAATTGTTAGGTCGAATTAGTAATATTACAAAAAAATCATCAAGAGATATTGGAACAAATTGATCTTTTAAAAATGATTTTCTAGATTAAATTATGTAGGTCATCTACACAATCGAAAAATGATAATTAGATGCATTTTTAATAGTCAATTTTATTGTTGTATATCCAAAAAATCAAATTATACATACAAAAAATATACTAAACCTGTTCCTAATAAATCTATTTTTGTTAGGTTTTTCACATATATTAATATAACATGCTAAAAATTGATTATAAATGCATTAAGTTTTTGTAATTTACCATTTTTTATAACTGTAAACTAATAGTATTCAATTATTTTTTCTTGAAGTTTACAATTCATCAATAACTAATAAATATTGTGTAGAAAAGCAAAAAAAAAATCTATCACTTTCAAACATTTTCTTTTAGAAAATAGATTAATAAGAAACAGAAGGAATATAAAGTAGTGAAACTATTATACGTATTTTTCTATTTATGGAATTAATGTGTATGATTTATATTTAAAAATATATAGTTAAATTTATATTTATGAAAATATTGTTGAGACTATTTTTTTTCTTCTCAGCATCAGAATATCATTTAATATTGACCTCATATCATTACACTAAACTCTAATCATAACTAGTAGAAAACCAACTGTAATGCGTTGTAACATACGTCCTCCTCCTATCCATTGTCTGCAAATTTATCTTTAACATGTGTCATGTTATTCATAGTTTCTAGATTTTATTGTTTTTTTTTTCTCTTTTCTTAGTGAACGCGTTTACTCCTTTTATTCACCTGTTTTTGTTTTAGCCAATAAAATTGAGAAAAATATCATTTAATATTCTAATTTTTAAATTATGGCTATTTTATACATAAATTTCATAGTATGTCATTTTAAACACCAACTAAACGTTAACTATTGTATGAAATATAGTATTGAATATCAAACTGCGTTGACCTGACCAATATAGACATAACGTTAAAATCCGATAACAGAACCACTAACCGCCGTTATTTGTTTAAGCAAATAAAACAAACTAAAAGAAATCATTAACAAAAAAATAATTTAGTTAAACATAAACCGACACATAATCTCGTTTGATTGTAAATCTAAACTCTAATCCGACGTATAACCTCGTTTGGTTGTAAAATCTGAACTCTAATTTTCTTGTTTAATTATAAAATCTATACCCTAAATGTTTATTTATAAATCTGAACCGATATATAACATCATTTAGTTGTCAAATCTATATCCTAAATATTTATTTATAAACTTAAACAGATATATACCATCCTTTATAAATCTAAACCGATATATAATTTTGTAAAATCAAAAATGGTATATTGTTAGTTTTTCTTATATAGATAATATTAAATATTTATTTTATTTATTTTTATTAGATAGAAGATTTTGATTGGTTAAAATAAAAAAGGGTAAAGTGATTCTAAGAATTTTTCTTTCTTTTTTTTTTTGGTCGGAAGAATTTTTCTTTCTTAGTTAATAAGGTTTATTTTCGAATTATTTTGTTTGTTATTCCTCATCGTTTCCCAATTGGTTACCACACATGTAACATATGTGGAAACTGAAAGTTTGACAATATCTTGGTTGTTTCCCACTATAAAAAGGAAGTGGACAATTTCTTGGTGGTTTCCTAAAATATTTTATTATCTGTGGGCACTGACATGTCTATACACTATATATATCGAAAGTTGTGGTGCGTCAAACTCATTTTCTTCTTCATTAAGCATCATTATTTCTTCTTTATCAAACATCTCATCCGAGACTTATCTTTGAAACCTTTCTTGCTACCCAAGAAACCTAATACGAAAACCCTTTTCCAAAACCACGAAGCAGAGAACCAAAAAAGATGGGGACAATGGGTGAAGTATGGACTAACACAGGCTCTGCTCTCGCAAGTTTGGTTTTTATATACACAATCTTCGAGCGATTCTTCCCTTATAGTCTCCGAGAGCACTTCGAACCATTAGCTCAAAGGCTCGTCGGTCTTATCTACCCTTACATTCAGATAAAGTTCCATGAATATAGCGGCGAGCGATTCAAGCGAAGCGATGTCTATCACGCGATCCAGAACTATCTTAGCAAAGACTCTTCTTCTCGAGCCAAGAAACTAAAGGCCAACACAGTCAAAGGAAATAAATCTATTGTCCTTAGCATGGACGACCATGAAGAGATCACTGATGAGTTTGAAGGGGTCAAAGTTTGGTGGCAATCGAAGAAGCATCAAAGCGAAAGCCGGTCTTTCTCCTTTTACCCTAAAGCCGACGAGTCAAGATTCTACATGCTTAAGTTTCATAGACGTGACAGGCAAGTAATCACAGAGAGGTATCTTGATCATGTAATGAGCGAAGGCAAGATAATTGAGGTTAAGAGAAGAGAAAGGAAGCTTTATTCGAACAATCCTAGCCAGAATTGGTCTGAGTATAAGCAAACGAAGTGGAGCCATGTCACTTTCGAGCATCCTGCTACATTCGATACTCTTGCTATGGATTATAAGAAGAAAGAAGAGATCAAGAACGATCTGATCAAGTTTAGTAATAGCAAAGATTACTACAAGAAGATCGGGAAAGCGTGGAAACGAGGGTATCTCTTGTTTGGTCCACCAGGAACCGGAAAATCAACAATGATCGCTGCGATGGCGAATTTCTTGGAGTATGATGTTTATGATCTTGAATTGACAACAGTTAAGGATAACACAGAGTTGAGAAGGTTGTTGATCGAGACTTCAGGGAAATCGATAATTGTTATTGAAGATATCGATTGTTCACTTGACCTAACTGGTCAGAGGAAGCAGAAGAAGGAGGAGGAGGAGGAAGACGAAGATGAGACTAGCCCGATTGAGAAGCAGATGAAGAAAGATCAAGGTGAGAATAAAGGAAGTAAAGTGACATTATCAGGGTTATTGAATTTCATTGATGGGTTATGGTCAGCTTGTGGTGGTGAGAGGATCATTGTGTTCACTACTAATTTCATAGATAAATTAGATCCGGCTTTGATTCGAAAAGGAAGAATGGATAAGCATATAGAGATGTCGTATTGCGGTTTTGAAGCGTTTAAAGTGTTGGCAGAGAATTACTTGGATGCTAAGGAAGAAGATGATAATGAGTTGTTTGATGAGATCAAGAGGTTACTTGAGGTAGAAGAAATCAAGATGACTCCTGCTGATGTGGGAGAGAATTTGTTGAGGAAATCAGAAGTTGAGGCTAAGGAGACATGTCTGGAGCGATTGATCGAAGCGTTGAAGGAGGAGAAAGAGGAAGCTAAGAGGAGGATTGAGGAAGAGGAGAAGAAGAAAAAAGAAGAGGAAGAAACTTAGAGGAAGAAGAGAGAGGAGAAGAAGATAAAGAAGGAAGAGAATGAATAAAATGAAACTGCATTGAAAGAAGTATGATTTGAATATTTGTGATATTTATAATGAATAAACGACCATTATAAATTTAGAATTGTTCGTTGGTGCTTTTGGTGAAGAGTTTTGTTGTGTTGCTTTTGAGCTTTTGTTTTTTGTCATTGTCCCTGTTCTTTAAGGTTTTTTTCTATCTTTTATGTCCGTCTTTTGGGGCTTTTTGTCCCTGGGGTTTATTTGTACCCGCCGGCTTTGTTTTTGGAAGGATCACTTTCTTTGCCGTGATGTATAACTCAAATGTTTCCCATCCATGAATCATTTAGACGAAAAATAAATAAAAAAATAAACGACCGTATCATTCAGAGTTACAATAATCGTTTATATCTATGTTGTATGTATTTGATTCCTTAAGTAAACGCTAACTACAATCATATTAGATATCGAACGCGTATAAAATACAATGCAGTCGTTAGATGGAAATCGGACAATAATAGGTGTAGGATCAGTGTTGCATTGCGATATTGATTTACCAGAAACAAGTCCAACCTAAATGTACTCATCACTCGACCTTCAGTTCCACCGCCGGATCCGGACTATCCAGTGATAATCAACCAATCAAATGAATGCTCGCCTCAGATAACCGATCTCACTAGAAATAAATAAACAAACTTGTATAAAAATAAATACGTCTTTAAATTATAGATCTCTTCTTTACAAACTTTACTAATAAAAAGATAAAATACGTCTTTAAATACAAAGAAGCTAAGTTGATATTGAGATACAAGATCGTCCCGGATTGTTCTTCATTTGGGCAACGTATCAACAGATCGTCCCTGATTATATCAAGATCGCAATCAAGGATTTCTTATTGTGTGCAATCCTAAAACTCTCCTTTCTCCAAAAAATTTCAAACCATTTCTTCTACTTATTCTCTCCCTATGTCGAATAAACTTCCCACAATACCAAGAATCCATTTTGAACCACGCTGGCACCCTTATATAGCCATAAACACGTACCTTGGGTCAAAAGCCACCGACAAGGCCAAGAACCTGAGAGCAAGCCAGATGAGGGATAGTAAAGTTCTGGATCTGAAACGTGACGAGACTACAGTCAGCGACGAGTATGAGGGTTCCAAAGTCTGGTGGAAGATCATGACTGATGCTAATGGAAAAAAATCTTACCGGCTCACTTTCCATAACCGTGCACGGAGTGTAGTAACCGGTTCATACATACAATATGTGGTTGACGAAGGAAAATCGATCGAGGAAAAAAAACCAGAAGATAAAGATTGGAAATGCCAAGGAGAAACAATGCATCATTGATGATCTTGTTGCCTTCAGTAATGCCAAGGAGTATTACAAGAAGATTGGAAAAACTTGGAAGAGAGGTTGCTTTCTTTATGGACCCTTGGGACCTGTAAGTCCACCATGATTGCAGCCATGGCTAATCTTTTGAGCTACAGTATCTTTGAACTCAAACTCGAGGCTATACAGAACAACACAAATTTGATGAAGCTGCTCACTAGTACATGCAAGAAGTCTATTATTGTGATAGAAGACTTGGGGATGGGTCTAGCTACTTGATGGAAAGGAATGAAGGACATGGCTTACAAAAACCCTCGATTAGCCTCTCTGGGCTTCTTAACTTCATTGATGGTCTTTGTTCAGCCTACACGCAAGAAAGGATCATAGTAATCACTACCAACCAGTTCCTAAAAAAACTCGACCCAGCCTTGCTTAGGAGAGAAAGAATTAATATGTACATTGAGTTTACATATTGCACCTATGAAGTGTTCAAGATTCTTGCCAAGAATTACTTAGATCTTGATGATCATCCTTTATTTTAGAAAAATCAAGTTTTTGTTAGAGGAGACAAATATAGTCCCAGCGGATATCGCAGAATATTTGATGGCTAGATATCATTCAATAGACGTGGATAAAACTTTGGATAATTTGATCCAATCTTTGGAGAAAAGGTATAGGTATAGGGTGCGCTAAACTGTTAGGGGTAGAATTTGGCCTCTTTAGCCGAAGGCCCAAATTCAGCCCCAAAGCCCAAATTCAGCCCCAAAGCCCAAATTCAGCCCCAAAGCCCAAAATCAGCCCAAAGTCAGTCCAGGGTCAGCCCAAGATTTGAAGGCCCAAATCAACTCCAGGCCCACAACGAATCAAGCCCGCCAAGGACAACCGACCAAAGGGTAGATTTGTCAAATCACCCCGAAGGACGCCCTACACTGTTCACTATAAATACAGAGGACCAGGTCCTCTCACAAGGGGGTCAAATCCACGCAAGAACACGGGAGAACGCATGAAGCCCGTCCCGGAGCTCCTCCGCTCCTCCCTGAGCTCCTCGGCTCATCCCAGAGCTCCTCCGCTCTTCTACGAGCTCCTCAGCTCGTCACGTAACGCATTGGATCATCTACGAGCTCCTCGGCTCATCCCAGAGCTCCTCCGCTCTTCTACGAGCTCCTCAGCTCGTCACGTAACGCATTGGATCATCTACGGGCTCCTCAGCTCGTCCCAGAGCTCCTCGGCTCTTCCACGAGCTCCTCTGCTCGTCCTGGAACGCTTACGGATCGCTTACGAGCTCCTCAGCTCGTCCCAGAGCTCCTCAGCTCTTCTACGAGCTCCTCCGCTCGTCCCGGAACTCCTCAGACAATTAATAACATGAACTACGATCGGCTTGATCCCTTCAAAGGGTACGTAGGCAGCCTTGTTTACAAGGTTCAGCTATCAAGACAATCGAAGCATAAGGAGACGCAGCTATCAGGACAACCCGAGCTCCTCAGCTCTCCTCCGAGCTCCTTAGCTCGTCCTCAAGCATCAAGCTCGTATTCATTCATCAAACATCTTTTACCACAATCAACCCATCCTGTCTCGGCCTACACAAGGAAGAGACCGTCCTTTGAAGTCTCGACCGACCTGCCTAAGTCTCGGGCTCGTTATAATAGAAAGATTCTTCTTACTTCCCTAGAGATCCCTATTTTCGTACTTGTGTGATTTCGTGCATCAACAGTTGGCGCGCCAGGTAGGGGGATAGCTCGAAGATATCTCTCGTAAAAGTAGCGAACCCGCGACGAAGCAGGAGCAGCGGCAAAAGGACTCCAGCGCCATGAAGACGCCAAGCTTGAAGAAAAGCAACGCCCTCTACGGGCCGATCAAGCTTGAAGAAACGTAACGCCCTCTGGGGTTGGACAAGCTTGAAGAAACGCAACGCCCTCTGGGGTTGGACAAGCTTGAAGAAACGTAACGCCCTCTACGGGCCGATCAAGCTTAAAGAAACGCAACGCCCTCTGGGGTTGGACAAGCTTGAAGAAACGCAACGCCCTCTAGGGTTGGACAAGCTTGAAGAAACTCAACGCCCTTCGGGCCGACCAAGCTCGAAGAAACCCTCTGGGGTTGGAAAATCGCGAAGCAACGCCCTTCGGGCCGACCAAGCTCGAAGACACCCTCTGGGGTTGGAAAATCGCGAAGCAACGCCCTTCGAGCCGACCAAGCTCGAAGAAACCCTCTGGGGTTGGAAAATCGCGAAGCAACGCCCTTCGGGCCGACCAAGCTCGAAGAAACCCTCTGGGGTTGGAAAATCGCGAAGCAACGCCCTTCGGGCTGACCAAGCTCGAAGACACCCTCTGGGGTTGGAAAATCGCGAAGCAACGCCCTTCGGGCCGACGAAGCTCGAAGACACCCTCTGGGTTGGAAAATCGCGAAGCAACGCCCTTCGGGCCGATCAAGCTCGAAGACACCCTCTGGGGTTGGAAAATCGCGAAGCAACGCCCTTCGCGCCGACCAAGCTCGAAGACACCCTCTGGGGTTGGAAAATCGCGAAGCAACGCCCTTCGGGCCGACGAAGCTCGAAGACACCCTCTGGGTTGGATAAACGCGAAGCAACGCCCTACGGGCCGACTAAGCTTGAAGAAAAGCAACGCCCTCTGGGGCTGGACGAACCCGAAGTCGAGCCCAGCCCTCCAAAAAAAAAAAAAAAAAAAGGTAGCTCGGCCTAGCCAGTGCCTCACTGAATAAAAGAACTACGATCGGCTTGATCCCTTCGAAGGGTACGTAGGCAGCCTTGTTCACAGGGTGCAGCTATCGATTTAATAAATCGGTTTTCACACCGACGTCACGTGGTCTTCGTAAAGATCACGTAGCAATCGAGCTAAATCACATCGATGCCCTGGCCCGACATTCGATCGAATATGTTCGCCCGAGAACGCATACCCTTACTTAAGGGTATGAAAGCCGAGCTCCGGGCTCGCAAAGCTCTGACAAACTGAATATAATAAGCCGAGGTCGTACTCGCACATTCATGCTTTGTTAAGCTATTACAGGGCAAGCCGACATCGCGCGTCGCACCTCACGATGTCTCGAGTCCGTCTCGAACACTGGACGTTTTCCAGAAAGCCGAGGTCTCCTCGCATAAGCCGAGCTCTGTGCTCGCACTGTTTCGACGGAGCCGAAGATTCCGCACTTCGCGCTTCCTCAAACAACCGTTTAAGCCGAGCAACTAAAACGTCACATCGTTTTAGAAGCTCGCACCAAAGCCGAGGTCGTCCTCGCACACAAGGGATAACACAGGGCTCGTCTCGTAATAGACGAGCTCAACCTTGTTAAAACGAAAACTTTGTTTTCTGAAAAGCCGAGATCCGTACTCGCGCCATTTCGATAAAGCCGAAGGTTCCGCACTTCGCGCTTCGTTGAACATTTCGATAAAACGAGTAACCCGAACTCGGTCGCGCAATCTTTAACTCACGAGCTCAGCCTCGCATCTTGTACTTAAAACTCGCTAGTTTTTTGGCTCGCCTATTAAACATTTCGTTTTTACCTCGTCTATTTCAGGTCAATTTTTACCTCGTTTTCAACAGCCAAAGATTCCGCAGTTTGCGCTTTTTCAAGCACTCAACAAGCCGAGCAATCCGTGCATCGCACCACCATGAAAGCTCGCATCCGATAAAGCCAAGATCAGTCTCGCATACAAGGGTTAACGTAAACTCGTCACAGAGCTCTTCAGCTCTTCACCGAGCTCCTCAGTTCTTCACCGAGCTCCTCAGCTCTTCACAGAGCTCCTCAGCTCGTCCCAGAGCTCCTAAGCTCTTCACCGAGCTCCTCAGCTCTTCACCGAGCTCCTCAGCTCGTTCTAGAGCTCCTCAGCTCGTTCTAGAGCTCCTCAGCTCTTCACCGAGCTCCTCAGCTCTTCACCGAGCTCCTCAGCTCTTCGTCGAGCTCCTCAGCTCTTCTACGAGCTCCTCTGCTTGTCCCAGACCTCCTCAGCTCTTCAACAAGCTCTTCGGCTTGTCCCAGAGTTCCTCAGCTCTTCAACAAGCTCTTCGGCTTGTCCCAGAGCTCCTCAGCTCTTCACCGAGCTCCTCAGCTCTTCGCCGAGCTCCTCAGCTCTTCGCCGAGCTCCTCAGCTCTTCTACGAGCTCCTCTGCTCGTCCCAGAGCTCCTCAGCTCTTCAACAAGCTCTTCGTCTTGTCCCAGAGCTCCTCAGCTTTTCTCAAAGCTCCTCGGCTTGTCCAAAGAGCTCCTCAGCTCGTTCCATTCCCTCGACACCAAAGAATGACCCGCCTCGTATCATTTTGTGCGTGGCGGTCGGAGTTCGCAAAAACTTCTACAATCCCGATCCACGTCATCAACCATGCATCAGGATTGGGGGGCAACTGTTAGGGGTAGAATTTGGCCTCTTTAGCCGAAGGCCCAAATTCAGCTCCAAAGCCCAAATTCAGCCCCAAAGCCCAAAATCAGCCCAAAGTCAGTCCAGGGTCAGCCCAAGATTTGAAGGCCCAAATCAACTCCAGGCCCACAACGAATCAAGCCCGCCAAGGACAACCGACCAAAGGGTAGATTTGTCAAATCACCCCGAAGGACGCCCTACACTGTTCACTATAAATACAGAGGACCAGGTCCTCTCACAAGGGGGTCAAATCCACGCAAGAACACGGGAGAACGCATGAAGCCCGTCCCGGAGCTCCTCCGCTCCTCCCTGAGCTCCTCGGCTCATCCCAGAGCTCCTCCGCTCTTCTACGAGCTCCTCAGCTCGTCACGTAACGCATTGGATCATCTACGAGCTCCTCGGCTCATCCCAGAGCTCCTCCGCTCTTCTACGAGCTCCTCCGCTCTTCTACGAGCTCCTCAGCTCGTCACGTAACGCATTGGATCATCTACGAGCTCCTCAGCTCGTCCCAGAGCTCCTCGGCTCTTCCACGAGCTCCTCTGCTCGTCCTGGAACGCTTACGGATCGCTTACGAGCTCCTCAGCTCGTCCCAGAGCTCCTCAGCTCTTCTACGAGCTCCTCCGCTCGTCCCGGAACTCCTCAGACAATTAATAACATGAACTACGATCGGCTTGATCCCTTCAAAGGGTACGTAGGCAGCCTTGTTTACAAGGTTCAGCTATCAAGACAATCGGAGCATAAGGAGACGCAGCTATCAGGACAACCCGAGCTCCTCAGCTCTCCTCCGAGCTCCTTAGCTCGTCCTCAAGCATCAAGCTCGTATTCATTCATCAAACATCTTTTACCACAATCAACCCATCCTGTCTCGGCCTACACAAGGAAGAGACCGTCCTTTGAAGTCTCGACCGACCTGCCTAAGTCTCGGGCTCGTTATAATAGAAAGA